CCTGCATTTTAATCCTTTGTAGAAAGGTGGTAATATATGAGCAATATGAAAAGAACTGGATTCAGATCATTAGGGGTTCACAAACCAAACACACGAAGCTTTGGAGGCTGTCCAAAACAAAACCATGCCTAGGTGGTGATGTCCGTTCAATAAAAATTCAATGTCATAATTATCCTCTCACTTTTTCCCCAAAGAGCATTAGAGCTCAGAACTGTGCTGCTGCTCAGCCAATTATATTAATGCTGTGAGAAGACAGATAGGGCCGGCAGCCAATCGCCGTGCCAGGTCACTGCCTGCTGACGGGTAATTTACAATTATCAAGCAATTAGCAAATGAAGTGAAAATTCAACACTCATCTCCATATAACAGAGAGTAACTCATTTTAAAATTAAAAATATGTTCTAATAACTTCATTTTGGCTACAGCTACACAGAGAAAAATAAAGCCTCCTTTTTTCAATTTCTCCTCCTCTTATGACAGACAAAATGATTTGCTGTCTAAAGCTAGCAATCAAATATACTGACATTTCTAAACTAAACAACCCCTTCCTCACAAGTAGGCACATTTTTATCAATATGAAAGATAAAAATTGAGACTATTAATAATGGCACTCAACTCAACTACCATACTTGAAACTGTTATTTAATGAACCACCTGCTTAATATCCTTTCCTGGTGGATGGGCAGTAACAAGAATTAGCCAAGCACCTATCTGCAAGGGAGTTCAAAATTTTCTTTTCTTCTCTTTATTTAACAATAAATTACATTTAAAAAGCTAATCTGCAACTCATCAGTTGCACAAAACAAATGGTCTTGCCCATTAATGATCAAGTTACTACTCTGTTGTGCCCACAACAAAGTATGGTGCTCCTATTGCATACACTCACATTACGGATTTAAAAAACAGTAATAAAACAGAACTTCTTGTTAACCTTGGTTTACCCCTCCCTCTAGAAAACTACTGTATCATTTTCAGCATATGGTACAAACATTGAAATTGACCTTCTTTAAGAAGGTAGCAGGAAGGCAGAAGAGGTCACCAATCAACAGTGAAATCCAAGTAGATGAAAGGGAATTCTTACATTTATGTCCTCTGATATTAAAAAAATCTTGACTTTAAAGACCTGATAAATGGAAAAAAAATACAGGCTCCTATCAAAAGGAGAGAAAGAAAACCAACAATCAAAAAAGAAAACACAGCTGATGTAAATATGTAACACCTGTACGTGCACCAGACAACATCAGTCTCCTACACTAATGTCAGCTCTAGGTTTTCATCTTACAATTAAATGTATCCAAGCCAGAGAGAAAGAGTATTAAAAACAAAACACCACCTCCCCCCAGAAAAACCCACAACATTATCAAATACACAAGGCTCAATTATGTCAACTAGAAACAAAAAAAAACGGATGGCATTTGGCACACTCTTCTCTCCAGAAAGATATCAGCAACGAAGTAAGCGTTTTTTGACTGCATGGGGTTTCAGAAAACATGCACACTGTCAACATATTTACTTTTAAAACAGTCCTTCACCTTCCTCCTTCTGCACGAGAAATACTTATTTCTGATTATTTTTTTCTTGCATCCTCTGTATTACCAGTGTCAGAAGGGAAGATAAGGAGAGCAGGGAAACCAAAGCAACACGGACAAATCCTCCACAAACCTGTTGCTGTGGATACTGCATTCCTCCCATGGCTGCCGGGGCTCGGCCCTGAATTCCCACGGGATAGCGCTGGGGGCCGGGAGGGCCATAGGACTGCCCGGGGTAGGGGCTGCTCTGCTGCGCCTGGGAGTGCGGGTTATTGCCCATCCCGTACAACTGAGGCCTCTTCATCACCATCGGATCCATCGGACTGCCCTGTTGGTGAACACAAGCAGAAGAAAACACTAAGATCCAGAAAGAAAAAGGTCAGAATCGTCATGCTTACCGCAGGAAAAATATGCATGTGCCTTCTCAGTGCTTTATACATCAAATATTGACTTGACATACAAACAGGCAAAGTACCATTCTCTGGTTCTCATGCTAACTAGATGAGGTTTTGAACTGAGACTTTCAGCCTTCCACTGCATTTATAAAATAATTATTTTGAATTTGAACTTAAGGCAGTCCCTTACCTACAGAAAAAGCAAGTATGGTAACTGCCCAATACATTTCAACTTAAGAAGCAGTTGTTGTAAACTAATTAGCATAACTGACTTTAATGTGTGAATATAAATAAAACCTTGTGTATCAAGAGAGACACAAGCAGTGGGCAAGCCATTTAACCTTGAAAAAACGTCTGTTTTCTTACCTTGATAAAAAGGGAAAGTGAAAAGAAAAATAAAGTTTTCAAGAAATGCAATGCATACAGAACACTGTATTTCATTGCTTTCATGTTGCTATCATGTGCTTTAATAAGTTTCCAGATCAGAAGGCAAGTCATAACCACATTTTACAACACAGTTTACTTGTCTCCTTAACAGACCTCAGAAAATCCTAACTGCAATCACTGATGGGGGAGGGGAGGCAAGGGTGGGAAGTTCTATTTTTAGACTTTTTGGCAGCACTTACCAAGCACCATAACAGTTTCAGGACAGGTGTCAACCATTGTGTGGTACCACTCTCATGTTTTATTACTGACGACTAACTGAACCAGAAAAGTATCATACTTTGTCAAGCACAGCACTGTACTGTTAATGTGACATCCATTTTTTAATTCCTGACTGCCAGTTATATTCATAGAAGAAAGGGAGGGGGAAAAAAAGATTTTTAAAAGCCTGTGGCCATCTCATCTCCATGAAAGTGACATCCCCTCCCCTCCTCTCAGGGAAACAGACCTATTAACTCACCCTGCCAGCCCACCCTCCTGCCAGGAGCACGACTTTGTCCGTGTTTTCCTACAGTGCCCTGTTGACCAGTATTATTTTAAAGCCTCCTGTGGACCACGACTTCTACAAGTCCTTCTTGGCTATTCAATTCTGATGCAATAGTTGTTATGACAATAAATTACACCCACTTCTCATTTCTTCTCATCATTGCTGTTTGTACTACTAACACAGTGTCTTTTTTCCCCACATGCACAAGGTGCATGCTCTCCAAAGAAGTCACTGCTTAACTATTCCATGTTATTCTTACCATTTCTTTCCTGCGAGTAAATCCAGCTTCTTACTGTTTTCACCGGCTCTCCCCACCCTTACTAATACCCATTTGCCAGGAACGTCACCAAAGCCAAGTAAAGTATTCTGAATGTGAACACACTACACCTGAGGAGGTGGAAACTAAAACCTCCTCCTCCTCACATGACACCTCCATTCACTTCAGAAGAGGATTGCCCTTTTTTTGCCACTACAGCAAATTGCACATTCACATCTAATTGTGGGTGAGTATTACTCAGCAAATTTCCCTTTATTATTTGGCTTCTTTGTGGCCAGATTAGAAGTTTCTATTTTTCACTACTAAATGTTCCTGGGTCATTTACTATTTATATTTCATACTTTTCAAAATCAATGGTTCCCCAACCACTTCAGGCCACCTGACCCATAACAGCATACTTTTTTTTTTTTTTCAGGCCATGATGCATTCTCACCATACTTTTAACTATAAACACAAAGGTTCGGCAGATGAACTAGAGACTTGTCCTCACAGGATCCCAGGAAATAAATTTACTCCTATAGACCAAGATAATTTAAGCATTAAAACCCAGAAATAAACATAATCTGTGCATTATGTGTCATACTCATTTTCTCAAATATAAATCCTTGTTCAAAACAAGTCTTGAATTTCCTTCATGCAAGTCTCATGAAGCCAAACAGCACTGTTCATTGCCACCATCTTCTCTTTCAGGGTATTATTTTCAGGTCTCAACTCCAGCAACAACATTAAACTCTAATTTAATTTTAATTAATTTTGCATGTACTCTTTTCTGTTCTGCATCCAATACTTAAAAATAGACAATGTGAATAGCTAAACAGCTAAAACAGTCTGATGCTATCCATTATTAGGACTATTTTCAGGTGCATATAAACTTTGCCAAACTTCAAGCATTTAGGCTGAAATTTTCCAGGCCAAATGTACGCCTGAGGCTGAAATTCTCTGGAAAATTCAGCAGAAACAGTTCAGCTACGTCTTAGAATGAGGTCACAGAAAAATACACCATTTATGCTCTTACATAAAACACTTTAAAATACCTCTTGAATACCATGCTTTGGGGCAGAGAATTTTAATTTGCCAGGGTGACACTGGAGGTTCGGGAAAGGCGAGGCATGTGCCCCTGTTGAGAGAGCACCTGAATGTCATCAGATCTTGAGTAGCACAGGAGAGGGAAATCGGAGCATGTGAGTAGCACAGCAAGACTTCAGAGGAGTTACAAGGTATACAGAGGCGGCCTCAAATGTGCTGGACAAAGAAAGAGGAACGATGGGATAAAAAAAGCAGCAGAGGCAGAAGTCGGGCAGGAAGAGTTGAAGGGAAGAAGAGGAAACAAGGTCAGGAGGTGACATGGATAAAGGCTGCAGCGTCTGTCCTCTGGACTATTGACCTCCAAGGGGTGGAGGTTTTTTGTGTGCATGTTAGGAGAGCAAGCCTCTCTGCCACTTCATCCTTCCTTCCCCTCCCAACAGCCTGCTTTCCCTTTCTTTCTCCTTGTCCTCTCCAGCAGAGCTGCTTCTCTTTTCCTCAGGAGCCATCCCTCCAATTCAGAAAGGCAGAGCAACAAAGAGCCTGAGATACTGCTGTAACTCCAGTCTGAGTTACAGCAGTCCAGTAACTCCGGGTGACCCACACAATGCTGAAACCCAGGGGAATGTGACCATGGAGTAACAAGGGACCTGGGTGTTCTCAGCACTTACTGTGGGCACTGCAAGTGAGGCATCAAGATCAAGGACTGTAAATACTGAATATGAGAGCTAGACTGACAGAGCAGCAAATATTCTCAGGCAAATTACTGGGACAACTCAGAGAAACCCACCCTGGCTGTCAGTGCCCTCTCTCCCTCCAAGGTCTCAGGGAAAGAATGAACAGTACAGAAGAATATTCTAATCACCTTTAGGACTGGAGAAGACAGCCAGTGAGGAAGCCATGCATTGGCTGGTCTCTTTAGAGAGTGGAAACACCACTGCTGTTCCTGACTCCCTTCAGATTACATCCCAATCATCTGTGCAGTGCAGCTATAGGTGAAGACACCTACCAGTGACAGCGGTTGTCAACATATTTCTGCAAGGCAAAGCAAACCAAACAGCTAGCTCTCCCCAGGTTTAAGAAACATTACCACGGCAGAAATTAAGAGCTGTTGGAATTAGAGTTTGCCCTTGCAACAATCATGTCTCCTTCACAGACAGAACTGTACCTATCTTTAAATACATAGTCCCCTTTTGCCCTTGCAGGCAGCAGAGGGGCCTGCTCAATCAGTCAATATCAGCACAGTGAAGGGGCTGTTGTGGGCTACTGCACCGAGTGCTTCACTTACCATATGGGTAGTGAACAAAGCAGAAGATGGTCTTAACCATTGAGGCAGCTGCACGCTGCTCACTGGGAGTGGGATTCTGCCACAGTTTTTCACTACAGTGAAAAATTCTCAAAATTCTCCAATTTAATGCATCCCTCATTTCCTGATTTGAAACCATGGGATTTAAACTGCAGAAAATGCTGCATATCTACAACCGTAACGACTTTTGAATTTGATGAGATATGCTTTGGAGGTGTCTTCAGAAGCTGTATGTTCCAGATAATTTAACCTACAGCCATCACAAAGAAGCCACTCAAACTTCCTACAGCAATGCCTCAGTTTTCCAAATGTAAAAATGAAAAATATCCTCATCTTGTTCACCAGAGAGGTGGTTTCAGAATTTAATATGACCCTGATCAATACCATAGAAAGCTCCCTAACAAAATAACAAATTTTGTCTTCAGAACAGCGTATGGTGAGAAAGACCTGGAGCCATACATGTAACAGAAAGAAAAACCAGCTGCTTACTCAGTACTATGTCCTGTACAGTGGAGGTAAAAAATTTATTATAACTTTTTCCAACTTCAATGCCTGCACAGGTTTCAGCTTTAGCATTCTTTTCAAGAGTTTCATTTCTGTAGCAAGAGTTTCTTTCATCCACAACATTTTGAAAGGTTATTTAGAAGGAGTTGTTAGTGTAGAAATACATATTATCACTTTAACTCAAGGCTGCTTCAACATTTATTAAGAACAAGTATTTTCCTCAACATCAGTTCCTTCAAAGACAAGTTTTGGGTGACAGGATGATTATTACAGATATCAACCTCTTCATGTTTTAGGGATCAAAAACCAACCCTCCACACCAGCCCTCTTTTAACATTTACCGAAAATTTCAGCATTGCTGCAACTGCATGACATTCTTCTGAAACCCTGAATGGATGGCATGTATATTTTCACATCTTTCATGCCTTTAATTGATCTTCTTACATGCTGTACTGCAAAGATTTAATTACTTTTCAAATTTCATTTTGGTGTCATTGCAGTCATCAATATCCAACTTTTCTCTAATGCTGTTTTCCTCCAAATATACACAACTTTTTTACCAATTTAGCTACTGTTTGCTCATGCTATGTTTACTGCTGCATTCTGCCAGGCAAGCCTGAATGAATTCTGACTTTTGCTTCTTCTAATTCTGCACCTCCTCTTCAACTTTCTGCATTTTATTTTAACTCTGCATAGATCTGCAGTTTCTCAGTCTTGTTCTTTGCTTCAGTCCACAGTCATATTGTAATTTCTAAACCCTTTATTATAGTGCCTATCTTGTGTCAGTATCAGATTAATTTGAACATATACTATTAGGCTTTGTAAGAACAGAGCTTTTCATAAGAGTCCTTGTCTATTATGTGCCTTGTGAGTACATAAGAAC